AATCAAAATATATATATATACACATATTCATGTTGACAAAACAACAAAATAAAGAACATATTATTCCACCAAAATATTAGAAATGGCTGACTAACGTTAAAAAAATGTTTCCATAGAGCTCCCATGATGCTGTCTGTATTAACGGAAAGAAGAGTTCACCCTCCTCCAGGATTAGAAGGTGGACATCCAGGATCCCGTGGAAGGAATACACTTTTACGAAAAGGTGGTCGAAGAATCAATTTGGGTTCAAAAACAGCTATTGCTGTGGCTTCTGAGGTAACATATTTGTTTTAAAATGATAGCCGAGCGATAAATAAATTTTAAAGTTTAAGTTTTCCTTAAATTTTCTTGGTTCTAAAAAAATTAATTTGTTCTTTTGTTTCCTAATCAATTTTCCTAAATAGCAAATAAACACAAAAAATCGAAAAAATGTGGTGTAAAATATTTACAGAGATACTACACGAATATATTGCACCTTTTACTTTATGCTTACACACTTAAAATCACATCCAAGAGACCACAAAATTAATAATAACTTATTTAATAACTTAATAACTTATTTATTCATCTTCTAAAGGATATTTTTATTCTTGAGACTCCTGGAGGAGGAGGATATGGACAGCCGAAACAAATACTCCCATACTTACAAAAAGAATCAACAACTTTTATCAAACGTGGTAGTGTATTCGAGTATCAAAAAGTACAGGAATCTGTCTGAGAACTGCAAGTAACAAGTATTTGTACTTATGAATAATTTAAGTTCCAAGTAAAGGAAATAAGTGTAATTAGTGGATGAAAATACTTTCGTAATAAATGCTGTACAGTACTAATCATGTTTAAAATTACGTAAGAAAATAAGATACATTTTTAAACCCATTAAGTGACTTTCAATTTATTACCATAAATATTGCCGATTTATCTATGAAAATCATCAAGTTAAGTCAATAAATTATGTAAAAATCTCTTTCCAAACAATATTTTCTATTTCTGTATTTTTTTGCCTTTCTACTTGAATAAATAAATTAT